CACTGGACACGACCCAAGAAAGCAGCGAAAGCCGAGGCAGTTCGCCCCGTTGAGACGCGAACAAGGACGCCCGGGCTTGGGGTTGTCCAGTCTACGCTGGACACGACCCAAGAAAGCAGCGAAAGCCGAGGCAGTTCGCCCCGCTGAGACGCGCACAAGGATGCCCGGGCTTGGGGTTGTACGGTCTCCGCTGGACACGACCCAAGAGAGCAGCGAAAGCCGAGGCAGTTCGCCCCGTTGAGACGCGCACACGGGCGCCCGGGTTTGGGGCTGTCCAGTCTCCACAGGACACCCACGACCCAAGAGAGCAGCGAAAGCCGAGGAAGTTCGCCCCGTTGAGACGCGCACGAGGATGCCCGGGCTTGGGGTTGTCCAGTCTCCGCTGGACACCCACGACCCAAGAGAGCAGCGGACGCCGAGGCAGTTCGCCCCGCTCGCTGAGCCGCGCACAGGGGCGCCCGGGTTTGGGGTTGTCCGGTCTCCACTGGGCACCCACGACCCAAGAGAGCAGCGAAAGCCGAGGCAGTTCGCCCCGTTGCGACGCGCACAAGGGCGCCCGGGTTTGGGGCTGTCCAGTCTCCGGTGGACACGACCCGAGAAAGCTAGCAGCGAAAGCCAAGGCAGTTCGCCCCGTTGAGACGCGCACAAGAGTGCCCGCGTGGGGTTGTCCAGTCTCCGCTGGACACGACCCAAGAGAGCAGCGAAAGCCGAGGCAGTTCGCCCCGCTGAGACGCGCACCCACAAGGGCGCCCGGGTTTGGGGCTGTCCAGTCTCCACTGGGCACGACCCAAGAAAGCAGCGAAGGCCGAGGCAGTTCGCCCCGCCCGTTGAGACGCGCAGAAGGATGCCCGGGCTTGGGGTTGTCCGGTCTCCGTTGGACACGGCCCAGGAGAGCAGCGAAAGCCGAGGCAGTTCGCCCCGCTGAGACGCGCACACGGGTGCCCGGGTTTCGGGTTGTCCAGTCTCCACTGGGCACGACCTAAGAAAGCAGCGAAAGCCGAGGCAGTTCGCCCCGCCCGTTGAGACGCGCACAAGGATGCCCGGGCTTGGGGTTGTCCAGTCTCCGTTGGACACGACCCAAGAGAGCAGCGAAGGAAGGCCGAGGCAGTTCGCCCCGCTGAGGCGCGCACAGACACGGGCGCCCGGGTTTGGGGTTGTCCCGTCTCCACTGGACACGACCCAAGAAAGCAGCGAAAGCCGAGGCAGTTCGCCCCGTTGAGACGCGCACAAAGATGCCCGGGCTTGGGGTTGTCCAGTCTCCGCTGGACACGACCCAAGAGAGCAGCGAAAGCCGAAGCAGGTCGCCCCGCTGAGACGCACACACGGGCGCCCGGGTTTGGGGCTGTCCAGTCTCCACTGGACACGACCCAAGAAAGCAGCGAAAGCCGAGGCAGCGAAAGCCGCGGAGTGTATAACGATGCTCGACGCCGCAATGCCAATGCCGCCCGTCACCGCTCCAATAAAGTCCGACGATGGAGGGTTTGGATAATAAGTCGCGGAGTTTTTGGCAGTAGTGATGGTTGCACGCGCATGCTTAAGAGCCAACACGATTTCCCGTGGGAGCAGTGGTTGAGAGTAGAAGTTCGTCGTGATCGTTACACGAAGTCGTGGTCGTCGAGCTCGTTGTTTATTCCTATTGATTTTTACTTAGTTTCATTAAAGTAGTCTTTTCGACGCGGATTCCGTTTGTTCTTTTTCGGGCCTTGGTGTCGACGTACTGGCCCTCGGTGTCACGGGCGCGTCTGATCGTGCGTTGCTACGAAGAGATGGCGCACTTATCTTCGAATCGTATCGAGTATCCGTTTGAGTTGTCGTCGGTCTACTCTCGCCCGTCGTGCTGTCGTTTTCGCGCTATGTATGTCGAGATCACTTTTATTTTGCAATATGTGAAGCGAAAATAAAAGCCGCCCCTTACCTTTTCCTTTTCGCGTTGGTGACGCAGTCTACCTGAATTCTTTTACCAAACTGTATGAACAGAATATGGCGCTAATAGATACGTAGCGTTTTCCATTTTTTTTCGTCGTAATCAATAGCAGCGCGTTGTGGTTGTTCATTGCTTGAGAAGGAGGGAACATGGACAAGCGACCACATCATCTGCCGCCTGTCCCGAAATGGAACGGGACCACAGTGTGGGACCTTTTCCGCGGAGAGCAGGAAAAAGAGCAAGAGGTTCTGCAGTCCCCGATCTCCACTGTCAGCACCGTCTCGTCGCTCAGTTGTATTCTAACTACTGCTTCTTGGTCTGATTGTGATTTTGTTGTTTCGTGATCCTGTGCTACGAGAATGGATATGGAGGGAGAAAAGATGATAATGATTGACTCGATCCTGAAAGATGACTATCCGTCGGCCCGTGCTATTTATGGAACTGTGTAATAAATAATTTTTCAACCGAACTTTTCAACTTTCAACAACAGATCAAGACACGAGCTTCAACTTGGTTATCAAGCACAAATACCGGGTCCAGCCCCCGCATATTCACAGAAAGGCAAAGTTGGTCACTTGGTACGAATTCCGTTCGCCATTGTTGAGTTTATCTCTTTGAAACTTGTCATGATTATGCACTGTCTTGCCGCCCCGAAACAAGGCATAATACGTTTTGCGGTATTGAGAACCTTGATTGTTCCAGCTTAGAATATGCGAAAATGGCGGTATTTTGAAGTCTGATACTCAGTTCCAGCAGCAAGGCGCTACCGGACGTCGATATCTCCGAACATTCATGGGTCAACAACCGATCATCGCGATTATACTGCGAGCCGTATATTGTCTGCATGAAAGAAAGCAAAAGCCACATGCGCCATTTGTATCGTAAGTATTTCCAACGGTGCGCCGTGGCTGACAACCGGGCTCGTTGCAGAAAGAATTTCAAAACGAGATAGAACGACAACAGCTGCAATGTAGCAGCCAATCATGTGTCATTCAACGACTTCAGTGCATGTTCGTACAGTTACAGACTCTAAGTCGAAGACTCCAGGTTTGAATTGGGTTCTTGTCCCACATCTTGTCTCTGCATTATTCGCCGGGGACGCTACATGCTCCCCCCAAAAATCGGATCGAGTTCGACAGGCAGCTCTTCTACCACAGCCAAGTTCGGCGCCAAAACGACACAGAAACGAGAGGAGTCCGAGAAGGATAAAAAAAGTACTTACTTTTTTTTTGTGCGAAGAAATTTATTAATGTTGATGCGGCGGTTGAAGAATAAATATGATGTTGAATGAATAGTCGACCATAATTATGAGCTCGATTCGAGATAGTTGAAGTTATGTATGAATCAAGCGAACTATTGATCAACAGAGCGCATGGAGAACACAAGGCGCCGCGCAGAGCGACGGGCGAAGCTCCGGGGTAACATGCTCCCCGTCGCGGAGGACAACGTGCAGGTTTCGATGCGTGTGCAGGAAAAGGTGTCAGCTTGAAAATAGTCCGATCCCAGCATTCGTGGCATGCGGTTGTTCGCGAAAAGAGCTCTTTCCTTCTGTCTGTGCGGCAGCCATTTCCATTGACAAATTTGTATACTTTTTGCTTCCGCAAAAACAAAGTGAGTTGGCGCTTCCGGAATGTGATCATGAAACACACGCAAAATAATCCGCGGAAGACGCCATCTTCTCACGGTGCACCAACATCCGCATTTCGCTACGAAATAGCTAAGCCATAGTCCTTGGCTGCTGGTCACATGTTGGGCTACAAAGGCATGTACGTGAACAGCGATACTGGGATAGGAAATGTCTCGACCTTGATACAGTATTGCCACCAACGTCGAAAACAATCCGCTGAAGGCAGCGGAGATACTGAACGAAGTCCACTTGAACTACAATCTCGACCAGCAGTTGGCCAAGGACTATCAAATGCAAAAATGTCTGGGTCTGGAAACTTGTGATGCAAGCCAGGGAAAAATGCGCATACTGTAATGCACTGCCAAGCATGACAAGTTTTTCCGTGGTGCAGAGTTGCGTACTCCGCATGAGAAACTGCGTTTCTGCATGACAGGCAAGAGAAGCCCTTTGCGGCCACGCAATACAGAGCTCAGAGCCATGCCGGACTAGCATGACAAATCCCGGAATCATCCAGACCCAGACATTTTTGCATTTGATAAGGACGAGAAGGAGGCGATAGATGCGATGGAGCAACAGATGGTGAAATTGCAATCCATCCGGGAGTATCAAATGTAAGAATGTCTGGGTCTGGAAGAATGCGACTTGTCATGCTAAATCTGCAGCATGCAAAAATCTGTGTTGCATGATTACCAAAAGTCGTCCAGTTTTAACCAAGTCGGGAGGCAGTTTCTCATGCAGAATAGGCATGAGAAAGATCGCACAGAATCTGTCATGCTAGGTCCTGCATTCCAGACCTCATGGATCATGGAAAAGCTGCATGACAAATCGCGCACTCTTCCAGACCCAGACATTTTTACATTTGATAGGGAGCGGCGAAGGGCGGTGGCGGCTTTACAGGGCGAGATGTTTTATCTGATGAAAATATTTCTTCAGAGTCACAAGAAAAACGCAACACACTTGTTATGCCCTATTGGTACAACAGCAACATCAGCGTGGTACAAAGTACGCAGCTTTTCTTGTGATCCTGATGTATTTATTTCACTGGATAGCGGCAAGGAATAGGGTGGAAGTGAAGTGGTGGTTGGAAAATGAAAAAGCGCTGAAAATGAAAAAGAACAACAACAGCTTACAGATTTAACGAAAAGCTTTTTTTACAGAAACTCTTTACAGAATCAAAATTTATCTCGTACGTACTACTCGAAATTAAATGTAAAAATCATTGTCTCTCTATGCACAATGAATACTTCAACGAGCAAGACCGTCAACGCGTATATATTGTTGGATGGAAATTAACACTGTACATACAGCAACTTCCGACAAAAACGAACAGCAACTTCCGGCAAAGAACGCGAACAGAAAATACTTACAACTAGTACACTATGAAAGCTCTCGCTGCCACCGTGCAAGTGCTTCCTGGCAACATGTATTCTTGTGCGCTGTTCGGTCTTCTCAATCGTCCCCAGATCAGATTTTTTTCTAATCTTAACATCGGCACCAAGCGCGATTTTCCGATGGAGTCCTGCGTAAGATTCCTGTAATGTCGTGTGTGGAGACCTGATTTAACAGGAGTGGAAGAGGGTAGAGAAGGGGAAGAGTTCTACATTTTACGTCTTGAAAGATTAGGGAAGAGGATATACTGCGGAGGAATTGCGTTAGGGAAATCAGCACTGAGAAGAGTGGCCATTGAGTTGGAGGGCACTCTAAGTGAACGAGCAATAGATTTTGATGCGGGTCCTCCGCACTAGATCTAGATGTGCATCCAGTTCCAAGCACATCAGTGGACGAAAGCCAGCCTGTATTAGGTGTATCCACTACAAGACCGGTTGAAGAGCATCATGGCGCGCGGCTCGGGTTTCCGTAACAAGGTTCAGCCGCCGCCCCCTTCCAGGGATCGCACCGTAGTCGCGCAGCTCGCGCAGAAACGGGCGCGGGTCTGAGGCGGTCCTCTGGCAAACGCGAATTTGAAGTGCGCGGCCTACGCCACCCAAGGAAGCGCGCCGGCCCGCAGGCGCGCAAGTGAAGCGCTGAAGCTGCCGCAGCACCGGCCGCCCTTTGTGGCAAGTGGAAGCGGATGAAAGCGGTCGCACTGGTGCGGAAGCGTACGGCGCGAACACGAAGCGGGCCGCCCCGTCACGGTCCCGCCGCCCCTTCATTCTTCGCCGCAGAGCTAGAAAACGCGCGGGCACAGCGAGCGGCCGCGCCGGTGCGCGGCTAGCCCCGGCGCCGAATTCTTGGCCCCCGTTTGCCGGGGGCCTCCGTGGGCCTGCCGGCGCGCTAAAAAGAGAACGGCCTGCGCCATGCGAATCGGCGGCCGTCCGAGGCGAACCCCCCCCCCGCTATTCATTCCCGAAGGCCCGCGCCGGGCGGTTTGGTGGCGGCCGGGGGGGCACGCGAGCCCCGGCTTTTCTTCCCACGTTTGTGGGTTGCCCGGGCGAGGTGGAATAATCAATGGCGCAGCTCTCCCGCCGCCGCCCGCGCCAGAATTGGCCCGGGCGCCAAAAGCATGCATTGCTGCTATATAAAGTGGCCCGTTTTACCAGTACAGATAGAAGAACTTCTTGCGGAGCGCGATGAAGCACGCGCGCCACCCGCTCGTGGCATTGTTTTCGTCACGGCCAGCCGAGCCCGAAGTGAGTGGAGGGAGTGAGACGATGTGTGCGAGAACGGACGAGGGGATAGGCTGGCGCGCCGATGTTTTCCTTCGGGGCGAGGCTTCTTGCCTTTCTGTTGCAGCGGCAGTGCCCCAGCGCCTGCTTTAACAGGCCTCTTTCTCACCCGAGCGCCTGAGAGGAAACGCGCGATCCCCATCTGTACAGTTTGAGGGGCAGCCTTGCCTGTTTTGCTGTTGTATGTGTCTCGCTTCGAGGGAGTTGTCACAAAGCTAATAAGCGGCACTCATTTGCGAGGACCACGAACAGACCAACCGTCCCTGCGGTCCGCACCGATGGAGCGCAGAGAACCGCCTTTCAAAACCATGCCTCCTTCGTGATGAGGGCAGCTTTGCCGTGGTAACCACGCATGAAGCGGGTGGGAGCGCGGGCTGCTCCCCACCCCGCGAGCCATGGCCAGCGCAATGGCGACCGTGCCTAGTGGTGCAGGTGGTGTCGACGGAGGTGTTCCTCCAAGAAAGCCGACCGCCGCGTTTGCAGAAACACCATTCGGAGAGCGGATTCAATTTCGGTTAGTTGTACCTGCATCTCCCGCGACACCCTCTTCTTCGTCAACGTCACCACCCAAGCACGCCGGATCATACACGGGCCACAAGTGGTGCTCGGGAAGACAAAAACAAGTGCAGCCATGCGGCATACAGAGTCTTTTTCCAACATCGTCCGCGTCCTGTTTCAGGTCCAGCGACAGTACAGCTTCCGCCTCACCTGATTCCGAAAAAGACGAGCGCCAATCATTTATTTCCTTGTCGACGATCGCAAATTTGAAAAAGTCTGCAGCACCACCTCTTTCCTCCACCAGCAAAATCTACGCACACAACCGAGCGAGGCGAAAAACGAAAACAGGAAAAACCGACCGGGTAGTTTTTCACCACTATTACCTCCTATCGCAATTGAAACCAATCTTGCTTGTCCGAAACGGCTTTTACTGGATGTTTCTCCTCCTTTTCCTTTTCTGGACGCAGCTGGACACGGTGAAGGGAAGAAACGGTGACCACGGAACAAATAGTAGCGGAGGTCAAGCCGCGACATCACCAGACGACTATGCTTCTGCTTCACAAGCCGATCAAAACCTCCTATCTTCCTCCGTAGTAGAACCGGAGGGCGATGTCAGCGATGATTATGATGAGCGGCTGGGTGTATCGCAAGAAAAAAGTGTTACAGTTCTTACACATTATGATGCAAGACCAGCAACAGAGACAACCTTTCTCATGCAGGAAATGCTTGGGAGGCTCGTTTCCTTTCTGTTTTCCCTTATGATCTTTGCATTACAAGTTGTGCCTGCCACACAGAGAAAATTTGTGATGCAGAAACTCGAACAAATGTGTAACTGTATACACTTTTTTCTTGGGATACGATGTCAGCGATGACTATGATGAGCGGCTGGGTGTTGGGAACGGTTTTGTCTCACCGGACGACGATAGGGAGGCGCAGGCGGCTTTGTCGTCATCTTCATCTTCAAAGCACGTAGACGGCGCAACGTCTTTTGAAAGAAAAGAACCACCACCGCCAGTAGAACAACAAAGCTCTTTCTTGCAACAAGCGAATAACGACGGTGAAGCACTAGTAGATGCACCAGTAGAGGGAGCAGAAAACCTCCACGCGGCGTCAGGCAAATTATACGTATCAAATGCAAATATGTCTAGGTCTGGAAAGTTGCCAGGTTGGTCATGCATATCTCGTATGATCCATGATGTTGATGCCTGTAATGCATGACCTAGCATCACAGATCTTTTTCTTTACAGGGCTTCCTAATGCCCATTCCGCATGAGAAATGCAAATGCCCTTTCCACGTAAGACAAACTGGACCCCCGTTGCTGGTCATGCAATACAGATTTTTTTGGAATTCAAAGACAGCATTACAAGTTGCAACTTCCCAGACCCAGACATTTTTGCTACGCATAATACGCGCTCCACCCTGATTTCTGGGACGAAGATCATCCGGATTACCGAAGCGGCCTCATCTATCGTAAGAAAAAACTGAAACTGCTTCACTGCAAACTTGTGATGCATAGAACGGAATGCAAGTTTGTTTGTGTTGCTACACATGCAAGACATTGGATTTCTAGCTGTGTGTTCTTCCTTTAGGAAGCACGCATGCCAAGTTTTCTTTGTCATGTGTATTAACAAACTTGTGATGCAGATCTTGCAAAATCATCACACCTCAGAGTGAAGCAGTTTTTTCAAGGGATACTATCCACCCAGACTTCGCGGAGATATCAAATGCAAAAATGTCCGGGTCTGGAAGGATGCAAGGTTTGTCATGCACGTTTTGCGTGACTCCTGATGTCTACGATGCATGCCCTAGCATCGCAGATCTTGTGAGGGCTTTCTTGTGCCTATACCGCATGAGAAATGCCCTCTCGCCGTGGCCAAAACTAGACCTCTTTTGCTGTTCATGCAATACAGATTTTTGGATAATGCAGACGCAGCATCACAAGTTGCATTCTTCCAGACCCAGACACTTTTTACATTTGATAGGAGAGGGTGGTAGTAAAAATGAAAGACGGCACCGAGAGGCACCTCTGGCGCAGCACCGGGGTACCGGAAGTGCATCCGATGCTGGTGCAGAAAGAAATCGATATGGGAAATAAAGCTGCTCCGGCGCAGGCTGGAGTCGGGACAATGTCGCCAAGTGGCGAGGATTTTTTACAGATTGACCAGAGGAAAATTACAGAGCAGGGTGAGAAAAATCAGGAGAAGATGTTGGCCAGCGTCGATGAAAATGACGATGAGTTCCACGACCGCGAACTGCAGGAGAACCACTTCCCAGTTGCACCGAACAAGGACGACGAGTTTTTTGAAGAAGGTAGTGCGGTAGATGCACCAGGAGAAGATGAAGATGAAGAAGACTTCCACCCGGAGCAAGCCTTGCTAGAAAACTTTCCCGAAATCAACGAAGACGTATTCTTCGACGAAGGAGACCAGGAACTACCGACGGTGGATGATCAAGATCAAGAACTACAGCCAGAGCTGCCAGCACGAAGGATCATGTACAGAGCAGACAACACAGAGGAAGACGAAGACGAGCGGTTTCTGGAGTATGCGGACCTAGAAGATCATCATGACGACAGAGACTACGGCGATGAGGATGAAAATATGGGCCGCGAAGACGATGACCACCGAGTTGAAGCAGGTACGTACAACAGCCCGGCTCCCGGCGACGGGATGGAAATGAATCTGGATGACGATGCAGAAGATCAAAGTCACATCGTTTACCACGACCAGCCGCTGGACGAGCAGGATATCCTGTGCAAAAGTATCGTACTCGTAGTAAAAATCGCAGTCATACATTCCAAATCTCGTTGCTAAGGCAAATCAGCATGACAAATTTCATGAGACCGGTACGCTCTGAGACCTAAAACGCGAAACACGACGGAACTACGAAGGTTGCTTGTTATTTTGTGGGAAATTAAATACCGTGGAGCACGTATATCGCCCGTGAAACAGATTGCCCGTTCTCCGGGGGATCCGCCCTCGCCCGCGGGGATCCGCCCGCTCCCCGGGGATCCGCCCTCGACCAGGGGATCCGCCCTCGACCGGGGGATCCGCCCGTTCCCCGGGGATCCGCCCTCGCCCCCGGGGATCCGCCCTCATCCCGGGGATCCGCCAACTTCCCCGGGGATCCGCCCTCTTCCCGGGGATCCGCCCTCTTCCCGGGGACCCGCCCGTTCCCCGGGGATCCGCCTTCGCCCAGGAGCCCGCCCATTCCCCG